TTGACACTGACACAGACTCACCACTGTTGGCTGAAGAAGAAGCTGGTCCAGAAGCAGTGGTGGACAATAAAGGCATGACTGTAGTCACTTCTGTGGTACTTTCAGGCATATTGACTGTTGTTAAATTTACTGGTGGTTCAAACCACTGAGTTGTTCGTCCTGCAATTGTTGATTCTACATCTGTGTAAGTTATTGTGGAAATTGTGCTTTGAATCGTTGGTAATGCAGTGTTGGGCAATGAATTATTTGGTTTCGTTTCTGCTGTGTTTGTTCCAGGTGTAGATGCTATTTTTGACATTTCAAATGTGGAAATCTGCTGAGCTGTCAATCCTACATCTATAGTCGGTACTGTCGAAAGTATGGTTTGATTGTCTGATGTTGTTTCTGGAGTGGGTGTCGATGACATCTCTATTGCTGTTGTGATAGCTTCTATGTTTTTTGCTTCTGTCTCCTTGGCTGTAATATTTTCTGAATTAGTTGTGCTCTCTTGTGCTGCACTGATTTGCCACATGATAATTACTGTAGATAAGAGGTAAAATAATTAAATATATGTGAAAATTTCTTTCAATTTTTTTAAGTAAGTTAAATAAGTTTCATTTCAAATGTATTACAAAACTAAATATAAATTTTTGAGACATTATGTATGGGTGATTCTTCAACACTTGACACTTAAGTGTACATAGTGGAAATGACTGTGTATGGTCCAATTGAAACTAACTGAACTTTTAAATGTCTTTTGTTTTAGCAAAATGATATGTTACATTTTATAGATATCTCAAAGCACTAAGAGAGGAAAATTAAAAAATTTATATGACACATGCATGCAGACAGCACTAATTCACCGAATGCCTTTGACTGTTCTGCTGTTGACTTCTTTAGCTTTAAAAATGCTCCCTGTGATATCATAGCACTTTTTTCTAATTTAGTATTTTAATATCAGACATTATCTTTTAAGTCTGGCTTTAATGCATCTTAAAATTTAAGTTTAAAAGAGTTTCCTGTCAGTTTCACTATATTCTGTCATTATCACCACCATTCATTTTATTTACCTTTTTCTGTTCATTTTTACCCAGTTTTCCCCTAATTTTGTCATTGCCAATTGCACACTCTCGGGCGTTGGTTGTGTTGTTTGCTTTGTGTTTATTTTGGTCAAATAAAATATGGCCTCCAGGGTCCTCCTTGAGCCCGGGGTAGCACATGCCCTGCTACAAGGACCAATGCTTAAATAGAAACATGAACAGTTTTGATCTACAAGTGGTATTGTCATTTACCTTGCTTTTTCTTAATATTCTGCTCTTGATATGTTTTCAATATTTGATGTTGTTCCATTGGTGACCAAGCATACTAACTTTTGAACAAACTTTATTTAATGGCAAAATTGAGGGCTGTGGTGGAAATGACAGCACGACCAAAGAAAAATGGTAATCTGCCTTAAAATAATAGAATTTACTTTCATACACTGAATATTGAAAAGGTTTACATTAATTTAACTTTTTCTTTAGAGGTTCAAATAAAAAAAAAAACTTTTAAAACTGATGTTTTTACTACAGGTGTTCGTGTTTTACAATTAATAGTCTGGGACCAAGGTAAAATCAATTTTAGTAAATACAGTAGTCAAAATAAGTGATGGCACCATGGTAAAAAGTTTCAAAGAATATTTTAATGTAAACTTATTAAAAGCCCATCCCTGGGACTTAAAGGTGCCAGTAGTTGCAGAAACACCCATATTTATCTTACACATACAGTAAGATTTTTATTCCTAAAAACTGAAGCCTAAAAAGTTTTCTTACCCATAGTGAAAAATATGCAGTTTGCTGCAGTTCGTGCTTTGCCATACAGAAACAGAGAGATTTTTCTGTAATTAAAAATAAAAAGGTAAGCTCAAATGGAAATATTAATACAGTTTTGATGTAGATTATATCAATACCTTTTTTTTTTTGGAACTTGTCTTTTAAGAATCAATGAACACATCACCTAAAGATAAGAAGAGTTTAATCAGTCAAAAAAATAGCACTTTGTCACGGAAATATTTCTTATTTCTTATTTTATAATATTATTTAATATTATTATTTAAAATACTTTTTTATTTCTTTAATATTTTAATTTATATTTTTATTACTACTTTGTTTAGGCAATATAAACAGGGAAGCAAAACCCTGTTTCCCCCTTTGCAAAGAACTATCAAATAAAGTGAACTCAAAAAATTGCAATACAGTTTAATGGTTATCGCTATTATTCACTAGAACTTTAAGTAAAGGTAATAGCACACAAGGCACTTATACTTAGCCAAACTGAGATTTAACCAGAGTTGTAACTAGTAAAAATCCCATGGCTTTTATGGACAGTATGTCTGATGACTGCACTGCTGTCAACAATAGGCTATAACCTCATATCATACCTTAGCAGGGGACATGTTTGGTCTAGCAACATGCTATTGTCTTTATGCAGCTAGGGTAGGTCAACACAGTGTCTTCAAGATGAAATGGATGAGAAGACAATGATAGCATTAATAATACTACAACAGTATTCTTTTGGCCAGT